AAAAAAAATCAACCTTTTGGGATAAAAGTACTAACAATAAAGTGTTATTTTGATATTTTATGACATTTTGCATTCCTAGAGATGGTACAGGATAGAATGAAAACAGATTTAACCCTTCTGTGTTCTTGTTGTCATGATGTTACAGTGCAGTCACACAGTCACACAGGTGTTGTTGCTTCAACAGTGTGGCTTGTCATTAATAAATAAGACTTCTGTTGCAGTGGCAAAAAGAAGATGATGAGGTAATTTCATGACCTAAATCACTGGTGCAGATTTAAAACACACTTTACATGAAATACAGCAAACATTTCAAAGTGCTCTGATAATGTGGGGACATTGCTGTGTCTGTGTATTTTTGCTTTCTAAACAGTGTCAGAAACGTTAGCTAATGTAGGCTAGATCACTAGAGATTATTAGCTAAATTGGATGCACTTTATTATTTTAGTTAGTTAAAAGTTCTGTCCCTGTTCTGGAAAATTGGGCTTCATTATTTGTTTATGGTACAGCTCTAGTGCCAGGTAACAGCAAGTGAAAATAATGTTGCCTATCAATGGACAGCAGCAGTCTGTATTCAATTTAGATATTGCTATTCATATGTCCAGGTGTATCGACTGTCAGGGTGTTTTTTCACTGTCCTTATTGAATAACGGTCATGAGGAATCATGCATAAATACTTACAGAACAATAAAACTGATGTAAAATTGTTTGATGCAGACAAGATAAAGGAATAAAGCTGCATCTAATAATCTACAATACCACTGTTCATCAGGCATGCACAAAGATTTTACATGCTCTTGAAAAGCTTAAACTCTCCTATCATCAATGCACATAGGTCAGAGGGATCATCCATGGCAAGAGAAGTGATTAGTCAGTAGACAGTGATTTCTTATCTGCCAATCTCTGATCTAGAACCTAACATGCTCTGGAGCAGGTTGGGTTTGCACCCTACGTTACTATAGCGATGTTCCCAAGTGAACCACTTTGGTAGTACTGAAAACCCAGTTACCACAGTGATGTTCCCAGGTAGGAAGAGAGCCACCCTGGTAGTAGTGGAAACCCAGAGTTAACCCTGAAGTTACCTGGATTTTAGTGTGCAATATTCAATACCTGCTGCCACTGACATCCAACCACCGCACTGTGAAACATTCTGTTCCGCTGCTATTAGCATACTGTACTATTGTATCATATATACATATAAATACATTTATTTATATCTAAATTATATTTCTTCTGCCTTGTATAGTGTATAGTTTCTTCTATGTTTGCATAGTATAGTTGTTCTTAGGTATACTGCATCTATTTATTTATTCCTGCCACGTCCACCACTGCTGCTGTAACAATGTGAATTTCCCATCTCTGGGACTAGTAAAGGCTATCTTATCTTATATGACAATTAATACTGCTTCTTACTATTACTCTAGTATCAGATCTAGAAAATTTTACATTGGGGGGGCAAGTCAGTCAACTCAGTGAAGTATGTGAAAATCCCCTATATGTAAATGGACTCAACAAAATATCCACAAAAGCACTTTAAAAATATTTATTGTTATTATGTCTTCTAAGAAAAACGTTTTTATGTAGGTAGATAGGTTAGTTTAGACAGGTGCTGGGGGGTAAGGCTAACTAGTACCCTCGAATGTTAAAAATATTGTGTCGGAAAGAGAGATGAAACTCTTTCTTTTCCAGGTTTTATAGCAGTGATGTTAATGCGACATTGCAGAGTAAACATAATTAAGAACACTAATTATGGCCTTATTGTATTAGTGTTGTGCATCGTGGCTCACTGCAGTGACGGTGACACTACACAGTGCAGCGCCTAATTGTATTTATCAATTACACCCGTGTTCACCCTGCTAGCAGCGTTTGTACGGCTCCTGCTGAGTGTTTTCTTCTCTCTAAAGACTCCAGTGTTTAACCGTCACTGACCTGTAACTCAAGTTATACCGCTGAGGTTTGTCTCTACGGTGTCTATGACTATATGCCGGTAAAGTCATAATGATGTTAATGTACATTTACCTGTTTCTAGATGCTGCGTTTGACTACTGGGCGCGTGGGATGCCTCCTGGCCAGGCGCGCGACAGCTGCCGTGACTACCAGCAGCACGAGGATGGCGAGCAAAGGTGAAGATCGTTCAAAGGGGATTTAGCTCATGGCCGACATGGGATTTATAGGTCCACTATAAATATTTTAATCTTACTTTTATTTAATAGTATAAGTAAAATGGCATCTCTAAAGTTTTTTCCGTCTCACAAAAAACGGTAAATACTGACAAGACCTTAAATTTTCAGAGCATAAACTTAAAAAGGACAATTTCAGACATATTAAGCTAACATGGAGATATGAAGTTTCTATCACGGCAGAGATGTGGAATTTGAAAAGTAGGCAAACACAGGTGTAAATTAAGGCTTAAAGTTATTGATAAAAACTGAAGTGTTTACCAACAATTTCATGCTAAAATGGCTGCAGTTTATATTGTTAATATTAGTAATGGCCGAAACTGACGAAGATCGCCACCATAGAAAAGACGTGATCCAAAGGAATTATGGATTTAAGTCAAGTAATGTGATTTGTTAGTGGGGGGTTTCCCATCATGCAGTATACTGAGTTAAACAGCAGATGGCGCTTATGTACTTTGATAACTACACACTCATCTAGACAAGATGGTACCTGGGCTTATCAATGATGGAGTGGGTTGTGAGGGGGGACAAATGTACACTGCTGAATATCTTTGTATCTGTGCCTCCAGAGGTGTCCGAGTCAGTGGACATGTCTCAGCCAATGTACTGGGACCGTGCGGACATCCCACTGCCTGACAAACCCTACAAAGATGTCCTGACTGATGCTGACAAGAGCCTGAAGCAGAAGGAGAAAGGACCCTGGGGTCAGCTGACTAAAGAAGAAAAGATTGCCTGTAGGTTCTTTAGTTTAGCTCATTATGCTCAGTAGAAGGGGGGGTGCTGTGTTATTGATGCACTCATCTTACCCCCCCTCCTCCCCTGCTGCAGTGTATCGGCTGACGTTCTGCAAGACCTACCCAGAGATGAAGCAGCAGACAGCAGAGTGGAAGACGGTCATTGGGGGCATTTTCTTCTTCCTGGGCTTCACAGGCATAGTGATCTGGTGGCAGAGTGTCTACGGTAAAATCTGACTTTTGTGGTCTGAAAAAGTTAAACCAGTCTCTCTCACAACTTAACACAAGCAATGCCCGTGGCTGAGAACACCAAACCGTTCTTGACACTTCAGTGTCATTTTTTTTCTCTCTCAGCAGACTTTCATTAAGGAAATAACTAATAGCATTAAAGATGGCTCTGGCTCTTTTCTAATCTCCCAGTGAGTCAAACCAGCTGGGCCAGAAAGGACCTGAACAGAGCCTGGTACAGCTAGATGAACATCAGGCTTTAATAATGCAACTGTTTAGTTGGCAAGTTTGTTTGGCAAGTTAATTACAGGTGATACTGGAGTGTGGAGCATCATGTGAGTTGCATTCTTTTGTCCTTGTAGTCTACCCTCCACGTCCCAGGACCTTTGATGACGAATGGAAGTCCCAGCAGCTGAAGAGGATGTTGGACATGAAGATCAACCCCATCCAGGGCATCTCTGCCAAGTGGGACTATGAAAAAGGCCAGTGGAAATAAAGAGGGCTAGGCAGGGGGCTGAGGTAGCACAGTCTGGACCTTTTACCTGAGTGTGGCTCAGTTTGACTATAGGAAGCTGCTATTGCTTTTGAATGCTGTTACAACTGTCAAAACCACTAGAAAGATGGAGCCTCTCTAGGGAATTGTACTCTGTTACCTCTAGCTTTCCAAACAGTATCTTCCTCTAAAGCCACTTTAGCCTTCAGTCACAGGGATAACTCTGTCCGTCCTGATGTAACAAAATAAAGCTTGGCTTTTGTCTATCATGTGTCAGGTGTGTTTATTGTGGAGTCCTGTGTATAGTAAGTACTTAACTGTGCCATTAACATCTAAGAATATTTACCTCCACCACGGAGGTTATGGGATATGAATAGATTCTTAAAGGTATGGACTGATTTCAGTTTTTGCCAGCAGTGGAAATCATTTTAAAAGGAAATGACTTTAAGTAAATCTGGGTCCAGTAATTGTTTTAAAGGATTGTTTTTATTGTTCTAAGGCAAGACTGCTGGCAGACTCACTTATTTTGACAAATATGAAAACAAAAAGCCTAAATTCTCAGTATTTGAGAGCCTTTTGTCTAACTTGTAAAGATGCAGGCAATCAGGCTGGCTAAGAAAATGCTCTAGAAGGCTGCGTTCGCAAATGTAGACTGCACATCAGTTTAAAATATGGTAAAAGTACTTTTAGTAAGTTCTTCTATGGAGATTCTGCATAACAAAAACAATACTTGAAGAATACATGGATGTTGGGCATGATGCTACAGTTTAAGGAAATAACACAATATGCTTTTCCTGACAGACTTGTCAGAGTCTTCTGGTTTTGTGTGGTTCATGTTTGAATTACTGGATAGTTGACTGTGTGCGTGCTCATTGCTGTTCTGTTTGAAATTTGGTTTCTCGTGTTTGACTTTCAGATCATTTCCCTGTGGTGAGTTTTAGTTCATGAATGAGTCATGATGCCTGATTTTGCTGTACGGTTATTCTAGTGATGCGTTCAGTTTTGCAATTCTGTCTTTTGATTTTTAGTACCTTTAGTTCCTTCAGTTTGTTCTGTTTCTTCCTCCCTCTGTCTGCTCTTTGTGATGGTGCCTGTTATGGAAGGTTACTTTTTTTTTCACGGCTGGTATTAGTTTTACTTCCTGTCTGTCTGTTTTCCCCTGATTCCCTGATTGTTCTCACCTGTGTTAATCACGCTCTGTCTGTTCGTCCATCCACTAAGCAGTCTTTTGTGGCATAAAATTAACTTTCTTCTGGCTGATTTCAGCTTCTGGCAAATACCCTGAATATTTAACAGCATATGTTCACGGGCATCTCTGCTCCAACACTCCCCTCCACTATCCAAGACATCAGAAAAAGAGACTCGGCATATCTTCCAACAACGGGCTTTATTAGGTTCAGTGTCATTTCAAATTTTACATTGGCATTCTAAAGACATACAAAGTGACCATTGGACATGACAGCAAACTTTAATTTAGACCCAACAGGAACACACCGGATAACTTTTTTTGAAAATGTTTTCTTGATTTGTTTGCATTTCTTTTCATCTACTAGCAGTCCAACAGTCCTAAAGAAAAGAAAAAAAACACGACTGACAGTGCACATGGATGCAACGATGGAATTTAAGGCCATTTGAAGGAGCACAGTTATGCTTTTTTTTTTTTTTTTTTTCTATTTTTTGACACCAAATATAAATAAAGTTGAAAGCCATCAGGTCTGTTTTAAATATTTCACTAAGCTAATACTATTCTAATCAGCTTAAATAACTAGCATATATATGTGGGGGGGTCGTGCCAATGCTGTCACACTTCCTTCATTTGTGCCTCCCTTCTGCCAGAAAGAAATTCACACACATGCTCCCGCACACACGCACGCACACACGCACACACATCTATAAATGGGTAAGAAAAGAGCTCGTTAGAGTCAGGGGCCCGGACAGCAGGGACAAGCCTGTGAGGAGCTTTTGATGGGGCTAAAAAAATAGATATATACTGTACTGGAATGTTTGAGAACATACCCTGGCTAACAAGGCGGTGAGGAGAACACGAGCAAACCAAACGATACTGATTATTCAGGCTTTGCGTTTTGTGTGATTTTGGTGAAATATTCATAACCAGGTCAAAAATCAGGGCATTAACAGGAAAAATATGTGGACGGTAACATAAAGGAGCCAATATGTGACGTGAGTGATGAGTCCTTGTTTTGAACATGGAGGCAAAGCTGGTAGCTGGACACCATGATGGATGTCTCAACCACAAATCCTTTTTTCCTCTTGTTTGCATTACACTCTGTTCCTTTAATGTTTACTAGGTGTGGCTGAGTGTAGTGCCTCGATGAGAAAACAGCACTCGCCTGTAAAGCTCCACAGTGCTTTATTGTGCTGTAGGACACACTGTTCAGCAGAGAGAGGGAGAGGCTGTTTGGAATAAGATCAAATTTGGAAGCAGTGGGAAGATTCTGGGAACGGGAATGAGTGTACTCCCTTCTCCACCACCACCCCAACCCCATCCTTCCCAGTAAATTAATCGAGCAGTTGTTAGTGCACAACACGCCAGGCGACAAACACTCTTCTGACTTCAGCTTCAAATTAAAGATGGATAGGTGTCTCCTTCCCTTCCTCCATCTCCTGTGGACCGGCTCTGATTGGCACGTGCGTGCATGTGTCTGCGAAGCAGCAGGTGGGCCAGCTGTGACTGACACACGTGACTAAGTGCAGTGACAGCTGGGGGACCGCGGGAGGAAGAGGTGGAGCTGGATGGCGAGGGGAAGAGAAGAGACTGATGGCGGTTTGACAGCTCTGAAGCGTCTGGGGAGGACGAAGGAGGTGGAAAAAGAGGGGTGGGAGGGGTTTGTGGATAACTGGAATTGAGCGAGATGAGATATGAATGTTTAGATTTTGAGTTTCATGCTCCTACAGCCGCTGACAGCTGCTGATTTGCTCAAGATGGTACACAAACACGAAGTGAGACACATTTCTTTAGCTCGCAGACGACGCGAAGCAGAACCGCATCGTCTCCTGAAGGACAGCTGCTTCATCAGTTTGCTACATAAATCTGCTTGCTCCAGTGACGATAACACGAAGCATGAAGTGTGTCACCGATCAGTGTCAGATGTGACTAAAGGCTCAAAAATAAAAATTGATTAGGACACAGTGGGGAAAATAAACTATAGGGAGGAAAAAAACAAACAGCTGTGTGTTTGAACAGTGCAGCTCATGATTAGGATTTTATTGCAAAATAATCTGTGAAAATGACTCAAACACTTTCATCTACACCCCTCCCAAAAAAATAAATCTTAAACGAATGGTCTATTTTTAAGAAGTTATGGCTGCATCTAGGGGCTGTTTTCATTGTCAGTTAATTAAAAGCAGCATTATAGAAGTTGGACCCAATGACTTTTAGATCAGTAACAATCATCAAACCAGTTGCACCTTAATTGATTCATAATTTTATAGTAATATAAAGTAGCTGTAAATCCTGTGAAGCATCTGCACCTGGAGATGAACAGGCAATAGACGACTGCTATTAGAGCCACGCTGATAACTGCGTCAACAACTCTGGTAGACCTCCAGCAGTGTTGTGCAGGGGTCATAAAGTCAAATACAGAGCATTTGGTCATTTATATCAACACTTTTGTTATTTAAGCTCTTACCACATGATTATTTTTGAACTGCCGAATCCATCTTTGCTCTATGTGATGACGGCCATGAAGTGTAGTTGAAACCTTGTAAGTGGATCTTGATCATGTATGAATGAGGCCAGTCGCACTCATTCATGCAGGATTTGTTCATGTGAGCTGTTACATTGTCAGTTACTGATTAACTGTTCATACACCTGTTACTGATGCCTCATAGGAATTACACTGCAGCAGTGTTAGAATATATGACGTTTTTTATACTGTTTATAGAGGAGGGGGTGTTCAAACAAAGTAGTACCAAACATATCACCCAATGACAATCTTGAAGTGGACCTATTAAGGGCATGACTCACAGTCCTTAGATCGTATACTGGGCTTTGATGCCATTTTAGGCCCCTTACACTTCCTTTCAGGGAAGTTTTATGATTGGCTGCCTCTTGTAAACACAAGGTTTAAACAGCGAATGTGAGTGGCTGCTGTGCTAATAGCAGCAACATTATATGGAGGAGGAGATATGGCACTCAAAGATTCCCAGATAAAAATCTGTGGGAGAATTCTGAGACGCTAATGTTGTTTCCCTGGCTCTCTCGCCAAAAAGCCAATCAGCAGCTGAAACTGGAGAATTATTAGCCAATCATGTGTTTAAACGCGTCAGAGAGAAAGAGTTTCGAAACATTTTCACTGTGCGGTGTCGGCCACTTCTCTATCATAGCAAAGATGTTGGTGTTTTGATTTTTCATGGTGGGAGGAGCACAGATGTTGATCGCGTCAGCTGATGACAAAATGTTCTGAAACTCCGCACACTTAAATTTGAAGCCCCATTTAATATGAGCACCACCACAGGACATATGCATGATAGGTCCCCTGTGAGATTAAAGACACTTCTTTCAGTGTAGCCAAAGCATGCCTGGAAACAATGAAGCTCTAGCTATTGCATGAATTGCTACAGTAATGGCTGCATTCTTCAGCTACTGTATGGTGAACATTGAGCGTCTGAGCCATGGCACCCTGCTCCTATGAACTGTGGTTGAACTGATTCTGACAACCTGCCACACGCGATGGTCGAACTGAGGCCAACTATGACCATAAAGCACAGACCAGTCGGGGTGGGATTTTAATAGTTGAGAAATAAAGAAAAAACAAAACAAACAAAACACACAAAAACAAAAAACCACGCATCAACAAACTAGTGGACGCTAATCTGCATGAGTCAGTTTAATCTAGCGCTCATACACAAGCCAACCGGCATGAAAGATAGGGTGAGGGGGAAACCCCCCCAAAAAACCCAATGTGTGAAGTGATGGGTTATGTTGCTGTATGTGACGGTGATCAGGATGGCTTGCAGGAAACTACGAAAGACTTACAGTAAACTTTCCCCTGACTTTGCTCTCCATATGGCACATACAGAGCTTTACAGAGCTGTGATTGTGGCGTCTGTAGGAAAAACAAGCTTCAACAGCAACACATCTGGAGCCATTAGATAAGTCTGGGTTAAACTGTAAGACTAGAATCGGTTTCAGCTTGTTCTGTTGATGAAAATGGAGAAACAAATTTGTTAAAACTATTACATATAAACAAGGTGTAGGAACGAGTGAAGAATGGAATGAAAGGAACAACTGGTTTCGGAGAATGGAAAACGAAACGTCTTTCAATATCTGTCTTCTTTCTTCTTCTCAACATTTGAAGATTCTTAGTCCACTGTGGGAGCGGATGGGGGGGAGGGATGCAGGATGGTAGGGGTTAGGGGAGTAAACATCGTCAGCAGCTATGATCAGACGAACTGGACCTTCATCTAAATGTTGAGGGTTGTGAAGGAGACGACTGGAGAGCGAGAGGGCTCACAGGCGTTTTTGCGCGATAAGCGCACCCGCCACAACGCCTGTCACCACCGTCATCCCCACCAGCAGCCACTTCTTGAAACTCTCCTGAGACCTCCGGCTTTCAGCCGCCGCATCCTGCCCGAAGATTTCAGCGAAGCGCTCCTGGAAAGAGAGACAAAGACGGAGTGTAAAGGGTTAATGGCAGGGCATCTGATGCACTCTGTGACATGCATGTGGAAAAACCGATAAGTATGCACACTTCCTAAAAATGCCCCATTTAAAAAACAAAACAAAACAAAAAAAACCCCTACAGTATCAGGTGAATTCCCTTTGATAAAGGTCCCTCAGCCTAAAAAAGCTGCAGAGACATCCAATGCTGGCTATGACTATCACCACCCACACGCTCATATGTGGAAATTTCCATACAGGTAGGTCAACAGACAAAAACCCTAAAAGACACCTGTAATGCCACATTTAAAAAAAAAAAAAAAAAAAGGAAATAAACCACAACCCCCCTCCCCCCAAAGTCGTCCACTCTTTTCTGGCATCCCCTCAGAACCACTGTTGTTGTTACTGACATTCTTTCCCACTGTTGTCCTCAGACTGCCATGCCTACATTGCCGCCCACTGAAATCATTTCCTGGAATTGAGCTGCTCCGGAGCATACAATTTCTGGTTTCTTGCCACAGGGAGGCGCCAGTCAGGCTCTAATCCAAACCATAACAGCCATCAGTATTCCTCATCCCTCTCAGCTGACTCACTGGTGATGATGCTACATGTTGTTCACAGTTCAGAAGCATCAGTGTTTCACCTCAATAAGCACGATATGAGAGGCCAAAGACCAAATTGTGAGCACTCAATGAGAAAAAGTGAAAATGACTCATTCATATGTCTGATTCTTAGTCAGAGGTAAATACGAAAGGCAGCACACGGGGTCTCTATTCAGCGAGTGGTTGGTTGGGTGGGTGGCGTGTGGGGTGCTGTTACTGGAAACTCTGTATGTAGTCAGTGACACAGAAAGACTATTAAGGTGAAATAAGAGAGTTTGTGTTGTCACTGGAAACGGAGGGTGTTTTTGTACCATACTGAAAGAGCAACTCTCTGAATTTCTGAACACGCCAGGCACACGGTGGCACGTAGAAAAGTAATTTACAAATCTCTAAAACAAACGGAATCCTCAGAGGGAGTGACGAGATGAGTTTACACCTAAGAGGACCAGAATGCAGGATTTAAGAGGCTATAAAATATATAGTTTCTCTCTTATTTATCAGTGCCTGACTTGATGTAACCCACCACTACTTCCAGGAGGTGGCAGTACTGCACCTATAAGGTATTTACATACCAGTACAAACAAATCCAAGAAGGATAAAAAGTGAAGCTTGCAGAGCCAGACTGCTCTAAAGCCAAACATTTTCCAGGCTGATCGATGAGATGCCCATCGTTGCCTGAGCTGTACCGGAAACCTGATTTGTTCCACACATACTTGGAAAGGACTTCTTCCTGTTACTTCCTTTCATAATAAAAGTCCTTGACTTATACATGGCCTAATTTATGTGCATAAAATGCACATAGGCATGGAGAAATGCATCAAAGTAATTTAAAACCTACAAAAACAAAATTGTATCTTTGATTATATATGTATATTTTTATTTATTCATTTATTTATTATCAGTATTGTACATGTAATATAAGCGGAACGGTGTTCACACACACGCAGTAAAGTGTGACTTTAAGATTTAAAAAAACCTGCATCATTCACCAGATTTGATTCACTCTGTTTATAGAATAACTTTTAGCTGGACAGCGTTTAATGATCATATCTGATTGCAGATAAATATAAAAGAAAAGCAGCAATCAAAGTAGTTAACAGTAAACTGGATATTCATAGAGTCAGGCTGCTTGTTGGACAATTGTTTCTTTGCTACTTAGTGACATTTTGTCTGTAATTTAGACTAAGACTAATGCTATAAAAAGGACTGCTCAATGCTCAAGCCAATATTAAAACCACCTGCTTTACATTTACTACAGCTTTTGTTTGTGCCACACTGGGCGTGCTCAAAGCAAAGGTATTTTCATTTAATCTCCACTATAATGCATCTATGACAGGACCATTATATCAGTGCACTGATTACACTATATGAGATCACTACACATTCATTAACAGTGCGGTTATGTGTATAAAGCTGAGCATTGAGCCATTTATTATTCATCTTCAGTAAACCTTTCAGTAAAACGGCATGTCCTGGTGTAGCACTGCTAAACCACCACAAAAAACCCCAAATAGAAACAACAAATCTAAACAAGAACAGAAGAAGGTTATATGTTGTGTTATATGGCAAACGTTGTATTTTAATCTCAATTCGTGACGTTTGAATGTGAACGAACAGATCATTATTTGAAGAGGCGATTCACTGAACAGATAATAGTAAAGACTATTCTCGGGCAGTGAGTTGATATCAGCTGGGATTTAGAGCTCTCTCTACCAAAGTTAATTCATTAAATCTGATATCAGCTGGATCAATAAAGGTAATGAAGATGCATGTCTGAAAGCTCCTTAATCCTTTAAGGCTGATGCCCCGAAGCCCTTTCACTTTCTGGATCAGAGATCATATGGATCAGAGTGAAACCAGGAAGGGATGGGCTAATGTAGAGAGTGATGGAGAGCAGTGGAGGGGAAGGAAGAGATCCTGAGTCATTCATTGAGTTTCTATTCTGTTTGATCGCGAGCCCCGTGGACTGCTGTCTGGTGTATGATGCATCACTGATGAACCATTACAAACAAACAAAAAAAGGAACTCAGAGGTCCAAAAGTTTTAAGTAACATTAACAAGGAAATCACATTATTGAAATAGCCCAAACGTTTCTACGATGAAGTCATTCACTGGAGCGGGGACTTTGTCCTGTCTGCTACAAATGTAACAGAAGGTTTCCAGGAGGAAAAAAATCTGGTTTGCAGCCATTTCCAACAGTATGCAGTGTGACAATAGATAATATTTATATGTTTTACTATTGACATGTATTAAGTGCTTTCTCCATTTTGGCTCCAAACCTTATGTAAACTTCATAATTGAGACAATTCATTTTAACTACTCTACCTTAACACAGTCATTGAAAGGCACAGCATCACTTTCGATCAGCCAGTGATATAAATTCTATGAACAGTGGTCAAACTGTGTTGAAGTGGCAGTTGACCATAGCTGAGCATCCTGAGGCTGGATGCTACAAAGTGAATGCTTTATTTGAGATGTTTGGTATTTACAAGATCTTTGGAAAGCCTTTGTCCAGATATTGTTGGAGTACAAGTGGATGAAATCAAATCTGTCTAAAAATGTAAATATTTGGCATCATCATCATTAGCAATCAAAGTGTATTCTCAAATGAGATGGACAATATGTCCAAGGGAAAGGAGATGTATAATAAACTAGTGGACCTGAAACTGATCCCATAGGAAAAGTGTGCATAACTGGTAGATTTCTACAGGTTGTATATAACATCAAAAGCACATGTAAACAAGTGTGCTACAAATAACAATTTAAAAAGTGAGTCCAGTAAAAAAGATATGTTTCTCAATATTTGCTAAAAAAAGAAAAAAAAACCTGCAGGGCACAGTTTTCACGATAAATGACTCATCATTGTATATCTGGGTGTGAAGTACTTAAAGTCTATTCATTAAACAGGCTTGAAGGAGAACCCAGAAAGCATGATAAAGACTCAAAGCATTACCTACTAACACATTGTTTGTTTTGCTCTTTTAGATAGGATTTGTTAACAATAACAACAGTGAAGTAAAGCAGCAGGCCAGCTACCATAAAAAAAAGCTTTTCAGAGAGCAAGTCGAACTAGATTAAACTCCCGAATTAGTCAGAGTACAATATGGTGGAGTATGACGCTGTGCAGGCTAACTGCTTAAACTGACCAGGTAAACAACAAAATTATTCCACAAATTTAAACATTCTAAACAAACTTTTTTTGGGGGTTACAAATCTGAACAGTACAGAAAGTAACCAGTGCTATTTATTTACATGGGACCACTGTGGTTCGTGGTCTCTGAGAGTGCGATTCCCAGCTCACGTTAGCTATTTTCATTGATACTTTTGCTCTAAATAAACACACAGCATAGAACCACAGTTACAATGATCTATGATGTGTGGAATTTGAAAAATAAAAAGTGTAACTATTTATAATAGAAGCAGGTTTAAAAGGCTCACTGGAATCCTACCTGCCTCATTCGTCATGTGTTACCAACTGAAACAGCTCTGCATACCAACAGTATCACCCTCTCTACCTTCTTTAGGGACGGAAAAACATGCCAAGAAGAATGAAATACTTGTTTCTGACCTCACCCAGGACTTCCTACAGGCCTTGATATGACGCATTTTTAGAAAAGATTTAAAAAAAACAAAAAAAACTGACCTTCTGTTAGCAAGAACGCAAACCACAGATAACAGCATGGACAGATACAAGGGGCTGGGCTAAAATGTGCACTCGAGCAAAGTTGATCTTCAGCACTCTGAGCTACTTTAAAAGTAAAGCAAAGTGGCCACGAGGGAGTGATATATGCTACTTGGGTCAATAATGACGTAGTGTAATTACAGTGGGATACATCATGTAATATGTGCAAGAGTTTTATTGGAGCCTTTTCATTCGTTCTTAAGAATGGGTCAGTCTGGCCATTTCACATCCCTTACTGTCAAGCCTCTCAGAACAATGAGAAGAATGTGGGTGTAGAGAACAATGCTGTACCTTTTGATGACAGCTGCCATCAAGACATGCCAGTCACTGTGCAGGGAGTGCCTGACGAAATAACCTGGACTGATTGTGTAGTTTCTCTCAGTATCACTCAGCATTAGTTACATTCAGCCTTACACTCAGCATTAGTACATTTACAGTTTTTTCTTCAGTTATGGTTGATTGTTCTACTGAAGCTGTTTCACTCCAGTCGGACATTGATGTTCAATATTTTTTTTAAAAACTGTTTCACTGATCAATAATGGGTAGAAAAAGTTGCAGATGGGCTAAATTGGACTTTGCTTCATTGACAAAGGCTATGTAAAACATCAAAGTGGAAGATGGTAAATGGATAGGTTCTTGTATAGTGCTTTTCTACTCTACTTTAGCACTTAAACATGTCTCATTGACACATTCATAAATACACTTTTTTC